GCCTTCAGTCGCCCTCCTACCCCCTCTGCCCTCCCTCATTCCTCCCCTGCCCCCATGCTCGGGTCACGATCCTTTGGGATGTCCTCCCGATGTGAAAGGCCGCTTTACAAATGTACTTTTGTTGTTTGTTGTTGTTGTTTTTCCCAACCTCCCTCATGGTCTGCTTAAAGACCTTTCTCTTTCACTGTGCCTTCGGTTATCTTCCCCCTTCCTCTCAGTTGAAAAGCACTAAATAATTTGTTGCTGTAAGCTGGTGTGGAAAGACCTGAAGGGTTAAATGCGCTCCTTTAGTTTCTGTTTTCCTATGTTTCTAAGTCTGTGATGAGGTATTCCGAGTAGCAGTAGAGCTGCTCCGTAGCAGATGGGCTGCTACGATTTTCTCAACAACAGTGGCATAGGGAAATTTAAGTTTCAGTGGTATAAATATTTTGTCCATTTAAAATAGAAGTTGTAAGTATGTGTGCCTCAAGTGGACAAATTGCAATTAGCAAGGAAAACTACTGAAGGAAGTGGGGGTAAAGAACGTTTTTGATGAAGGAAGCCAATTAAGTTAAAGGGAGATTTAAATTTTTCCTCTAACATTGAGACTCAGTAGTCATGGTCTAATGGGTGTGAGGTCATCCATCTGTTGCAAGTCACAAGATCACAAGAATGGGTCAGAAGACTTCGGGCCTTCCACCCGCGGAGATCCTGAAGCAACCATCCAGCTGCTCCATGATCGCCTCTCCTCCACCTTCAACTCCCTCATCCCCCTAAAATCCAGGACCTTCTCCAAACCCACCCAATCCCCCTGGTACAACAACCATCTGCGCCGCCAAAAAACCCAAACCCGGCTCCTCGAGCGCAGATGGCGGAAAATTGGCCTGACAGTTCACCACCAACTGTGGCTCGAGCATCTCCACATCGTTCTTTGACACGTGCAAAAACGGCCTTCTACTCCAACATCATCTTGGAGGCTAAACACAACCCTGAAATACTTTTTTCCACCACCTACTACCTCCTCCATGCCCCCCCTCAGACCTCCTCAATCTTCGTATCAAATGCCAAGTGCGAGGAGGTCATGGATTTCTTTTAATCTAAAATGCTTAACATCCGCCAGACAGCCTCATCCACCTGCCCCTTGTCACCCACCACCACGCCCTCTCTGTTCCCCTCACCCTCCACATCATCTGCTCCTACCACCACCCCCATTCCACATTCCTTCCTCCCTATCTCTCCCTCCTTCCTCTCACCCACCATCACCTCCATGAAACCCACCACCTGCTGCCTCGACCCCCTCCCCACCAACTTGCTGGTCACCCAGCTCCCCCTCCTCTGCCCACTACTGGCTGACAGCATCAACCAGTCCCTCTCCTCCAGATCAGTCGCTGCCTCCCTCAAAACTGCTGTCATCACCCCCCTCCTGAAAAAACCCTCCCTAGATCTCTCAAACCCCAGCCACTACCACCCTATTTCTAAACTGCCTTTCCTCTCAAAAGTTCTAGAACGTGTTGTTGCAAACCAACTCCGCGCACACCTCTCTCCCACTCCCTCTTCGAACCCCTCCACTTTAGTTTCCGCCCTTTCCACAATACAGACTGTGCTTGTGAAAGTCACAAACGACATCCTCTCTATCTGTGACCAGGGCTCCCTCTGCCTCCTTGTCCTCCTGGACCTCTCCGCCACGGTCGACAGTTGATCACGCGATCCTCCTCCACCGCTTTTCCTCTGTCATCCACCTCAGTGGGACCGCACTCGCCTGGTTCGAGTCCTACCTCACAAACCACCAGCAGTACATCTGCACAAACGGCTTCTCCTCCTGCTCTCACCCGGTCATCTGCGGAGTACCCCGAAATTCCATTCTTGGCCTCCTCCTCTTTCTGTCCTATATGCTCCCTCTTGGGGATGTCATCCGCAGACATGGGGTACACTTCCATATGTATGCAGACGACATCCAACTCTATTTTTCCACCTCTCTTTGCGACCCCCAGTCCCCAGCCTGCCTGTCAGATCTCAGGGGCTGGATGAGCACAAATTTCCTTCAGCTGAACGTTGATAAGACGGAAGCCACACTCTTTAGCTCTGGTCAACGTCTAAAATCTCACGGTTCTTACCTCCTCCACCTACCCGACCTCCCCCTAAAACACTCAAAACTCCTACGCAATCTAGGCGTCAGGTTCACCCCCAATTATCCTTCCTCCCCCACATCTGGTCACTCACCAACACCGTTTTCTTCCACCTCCGACGCATTGCCCGTCTCTGCCAATACCTCTCTCCGAAAGCTGCTGAAACCCTGGTCCATGCCATTGTCACCTCTCGGCTGGACTACTCTACTACTCTCCTCGCTGGTCTCCCATCCACTACCATGCATAAAATCCAAATCATTCAAAACTCTGCCGCCCTCATTCTCACCTGCACGAAACTCCGCTCCCCGATCACCCCAGTCCTTGCCAGTCGGCACTGGCTGCCTATCCCAGAGAGGATCGATTTCAAGATCCTCACCCTGTATTAAAGTCCCTGCACTCCTCTGCACCCCCCTCCCTCTCTGACCTCCTCTCTCCTCACAACAGTGCCCGTTGCCTTCATCCCTCCGGGTCTGGCCTCCTCCTCGTCCCCCGAGTCCTCCACTCCACCCGCGGCAGCCATGTCTTCAGCCAGTATGCCCCGAGGCTCTGGAACTCCCTTCCTCACTCCCTTCACCTCGCTCCATCTCTTCCTATTTTCAGGTCTCTGCTGAAGACCTTTCTTTTCGACTGTGCCTTTGGTCACCTTCCTCCCCCTGCCCCTGGCTCGGTCCCGGGATCCGTTACTGTGAAGCGCTCTGAGATGCCGTCCGGCATGGAGGCACTATATAAATCCAAGTTGTTGTTGTTGTTGTGACTTTTTGGCTCATTTGATTTCATCCTTCCAGAATACTCACTCTTCCTTTGAGATATTCCCAGTAGGTGCTATCCCAAATGAAGGGACTATTATTTAAAGATAATTGGAACAGTCAGTGTTGTATGTATTGAAATGGTCCACAATATCAATAGGGGAAAGGAAAACCAAGCCATTCTGCAGTTTTTTTAATCATTCAGAGTCTGCATCCTCTACAGCTTGTCTTATTTAGATCCTCTTCGTAATTCTTGAATATTGCAAAACTTTTTCGTCGTAAAATAAAATGTGTACTTATTACAGTATACTTTTCTCCTCCGCATTCAAGCCATGACCCGCTCTGCCTTCCCTCACCTCCGTAACACGTCCGACTCTGCCACTACCTCACCCCTCAGGCCACTGAAACTCTTGTTCATGCCTTCATCACCTCCAGATTCAACTATGCAAACGTCCTGCTTGTCGGCCTTCCCAACTCTTCCTTCCACAGGCTGCAGATAATCCAGACCTCTGCAGCCCGTGTCCTCTCCCGCACCAAACTCTGTGACCCCATCTCCCCCATTCTCGCCCGACTCCACTGGCTCTCTATCCTTCAGAGGATCCAGTTCCAGATCCTGGTCCTCACATACAAAGCCCTCCATGGCCTCACCCCACCCTACCTCTGCGACCTCCTAATCCCCTACCAACCCACCCATTCCTTCCGCTCATTCGGCTCTGGCCTGCTCCACATCCCCCGACCCACCCGCCCCACCATTGGCAGGAGAGCCTTCAGCCATTCTGCCCCCAACCTCTGGAATTTCATCCCCCAGTCACTCCGCCTCGCCCCCTCCTTGGCCTCCTTCAAGTCCCACCTCAAGACCCTCCTCTTCGACCATGCCATCGGCCAATCCCCTTCCCCTCCCCTTCCTTACCCCCAACCCCAGCTCGGGTCTGAAATTCTGTACTCTGTCCAGCGCCTTGGGACGTACTCCCGACATGAAAGATGCTGTACAAATGTAATCTTGTTGTTGCTGTTGTTGAAGTATTTTTGGAATTCAGTCTATGTATTAGATTTCAGTGTAGAATTTGAACCATTATTTGCCAGAGAATAAATTCTAATTTTAACTTTAAATAAGATTTACTGAAAATCATTTCTAAACAATTCGATATTAGATCAGAAAATCTCACTGCTCAGACTAGAACTGTGGAAGGATCCTCATATTTAATATAGTAAAATTGAAAATGATACATTGGGAGAAAAGTGGCTCAGGGGCCTTTTGAGTCCAATCTGGGAAAATTCCTCCATTCCATGTCCTATCAATATTCCAGCTGCTCCTCTCCTGTTGTCAACCACCCAGGTGAAAAACTAGAGAGAACCAAAAAATCTCAAGGTCGATACTAGATATTCCTTCCTAATTCCCGAAGGCAGGGGAGGGATGGGAAGGGATGGAGAGGGATGGGCCCCCGGGCAACACAAAAGTCTGTCTAGTCAATCCTATGTCCTGCCACATCAATGTGATATATTTAGGCTACAGCTGTCAATCCAAAACAGACGATGAGTGAAACGTTGCAATTCACAGGCTAAAGCCTGGAAAATAAAATGACTTTAATAATAATGCACTATGAATAGAGATTTACAAACACTGAAAAATGAACCTGATAAGAGCAAATGCATCCGTATCCTCTTAAATTCCCATCTGTCTAAACTGGTGACACAGACACAGCTAACTATGTATTAAGAGGTCGTTTAGTGCTCCAAGACTGCCTTCACCCGGAATTGGTGCCTTAGCATAGTGAATCTTAGACAGCACTGGATTGCTCTTACAACCTCCTTTGTGTTTCTGCCCGGGCCAATTTAACGTTCGATTTCTTCAACCGTGACCATTATAATTACAATCAACAGGGAAAAAACGACCTTTAGATTTTAATTTAAAAAAGTCTGAAACAACACAGGACTGACTGATGTGAATTGTTACACTGACCCACATCTCTTGATTATTTTTTTTTGATATTAGTAAATTAAACTAGTGACTTATTTGATTTTTCAAAACCATTTTAATGTTATTGCTTTTACAAAAGAGTAAATACCACTATTCAGGCATTTGCGAACACTGATATTGAACACATTTATTTAAGGTCAGAAATTCTGCATGAGCTAAGTGTAGGATGTTACAAATCCACACGTTATGCGTATATATGTGCATTCAGAAATAAATACATCAGCATTGCAAAACAGGAGCCAATAAATTAATCCCTCATTTTAAGAGCATTCGCTATCCAGTAAAATCCACAATTTCTGTTTCAATTTCGTACAACATCTAAGAACATGTGTAAAAATGGATTGTAAAAATATTTTTAAAAATGATAATCAAAAATTCTTATGCACAGAACCAAAATTATTCTATTCATTCAAATGAAATAACAACACAGCGAGAAAGGCTTCCTGAATTTGACCTTTATCAATCTTCAGAATAGAATACCCATCAACCACCTTCATTATCTGTTTTTAGTTTGCTGAATTAAGAAGGTTTTCTCCAGGCACTTCCACTGGTTCTACGTTTCGGTATTAACAGCTGAAAAACAATATTATGAGAAAAATTACTTTCACAAACCAGGTTCATGTAGATTATTTTAAAGCTTTTCTATAAGTGAGAAACAAACTAGAAGTTAAAACAGAGTCGACATGCTCTAAAGTGCTTTTCTTTGTGTTATGATCAGATCAGAGCTATATAAATGCAAGTTGCTATTGTTGTTTTGACTTGGCGTTTGTAGGGCTATGGATTGAAAACTTATCCAAAAGAAACTATAGAACCAACAAGATATTTGGCCTTCAATTGCGGTGTATGACTTTCATATCAGTTGCAAGCTTGATCAACTCATGACTAGAGGGTTATGCTTTTCTGCTTGTTTGGGAAGTGCAGTAAATCTTTCAATGTTCATTTACAATGTGATGTAGCACTAATTGCATTTAGCAGAACTGCCACCATATCACTTATTGGTTATCAGTCAGTTTCACTTGTAATTAAAAAAATATGAATCTAGCAAAGCCTCTTGTATTGCAATAAAAATAAGGATGAATAAGGACTATAAGAATGAAATAAGTTATTTACAGTTGAGAAAGAGAAGTGATGTACAGGGGAAAGCGCCTGACCTATCCTGCCCACAGTGTTAATGGTAAGAAGAAGAATTAGGTTGGTTTCTCCAGGAATTGCATGTTTTATCTTTATATCATTCTGTAATATTTTTGAAAATGCCAATCAATTACAACATCTTGCACCATTGAAAATATTCATTTGCAATTCATTTGCTTACTTTTATGGAACCGCAAAAAATATGTTGTGGCCTAATTTTAAAGAGATGCTATGTTGGATCATGATCACAGGTGCTCAGATTGCTTCTGTTGGTCAGTGAAGCGTATAGAAATTTCAAAATGAATTTAGTGTAGTATAACTACAAAGTAATCCAAAGTAAGCCAATAAGTTAAGCCCGGAGAACATAAATGGAAATTTGTGGAAAGTAAATTTAGAATCAATATGAGGAAATTCATCTTTGCTCAAAGAGTGAAAATGTTCAGAATTATCTAGCGTATCTTGCAAAACCACTGAAATTATGAAGAATAAAAATAGAAAGTCTTTATTGGAGAGTTAATGTACTAGAGGGATGAGCTTTTTCTCATCCCTGACTAGTCTTAGAATCTTTATCGTCTTAATGCATTTGCTTCTTTTCACCATTGCTATTAATTGTAAAACACAATCAAGCAGGACAGCAGCACTAACTTCTAGCCGTGAAGGATGTTAAGCATAAACGTGTAAAAACTGTGGGTGCTGAATATACATTTTTGCACATTAGTTGATCCCCAAAGAAACCTTGAACGTAACTCCAAAACGATCCCTTTGGAGAAGATCATAGAAATAAATTATTATTCATAAAATAGTATTGAAACAAACCTACTCTGTATCATGTCTATCACTTCCTTTGTTTCCTTTTGTTACCCGTGTTTCCCCTCCTGTTTATTTACAAGAAGCCCTTATTGATTCCTAGAAATGTGGGATGATTTCAGCTACAGCCCACCACAAGTGCTGTTTTGTGTTTGTTCAACTGAAGGTGGGTTGTCAGACCACAGAGAACGACACCAGCCCCCATCTACCCAGATGATTAATCAACCACAGCAATGATTCCCATCTAATAGCCTGGTCTGAAACTAATAAAGTTACTTATAACAGATATGTCTGAGTGACAGGCAGCTTTGGGACATAAACTATAACCATCAAATTGGATTCTACTTCCTTTAATATTAAATATTGAGCACAAACTTCACATGCCCGTCAACCCTAATCCTCACCAGACTCCACTGTCTCCCAGTAGATTGACTTCCAAGATCCTCAATTTCACCTGTAGGTTCCTTTTTGCCCTTGCATCTCTCTATCTCTGAGATCTTCTCCAACTCCACACTTCTGTTCATCTTCCACTCAGCAAGTTCAGGTCTTCTGCATGTTCCCCACCCTCTCTACTTCACCATCGGCAGCTAAGTCTTCAACCTTTGCCCCTATCCTCTGGAACTCTTGACTTGCGTGTTGCCCCGTCTATCTGAAATCTGTCCTTTCTCTGGTTACCGCCCTCCTCCTCCTTGCTGCCCCCCACCCCATCCCCCTCTTCCCTATTCAATGTCCAGCACTGGCTCTGTAAACCACTCCGAGGTACTACTCCATGTGATGTTCGTTATATAAATACAAGTTGTTCCTCTTGTTATATTGGTGTCCCTTTGTTCTCAATGGTAAGAGACATCATTACTGTTTCACCGCACAGCCGTTCACTGAGATAATACATGAGCTGGTGATTGTACCTTTTTTTTTCTTCCAGTTTTTCTTGTTCAGATGTTCATTGTCGTGTATCTGTTTCCTTAAACCTTTCATTTTATCTTCATCAATATATTCATAGTCATGTTTGTCATCAAAATTCAAGTTTTCAACATCTACAACAAGGCCTTTGGAAGAAAAGAGAAAAAGAAAGAGGAATAGATTGCAAAGATCAAGGGAAGGGCATTGCAAAATCATCACCCAGCAAACAAAACAAACTATCTATTGATTTACAATGAACACTAACTGCTATTTTACAGATTAGCACTTCAGGAGGATGGAGCAACTATATGAAATGCATCATTCCTTCAACAAAGACAACAATTTCATGAAGCATCCTAGATCAGTCAAGACATGCACTGATAGTAAAAACAAACCCTGCAAATAATACAAATCTAACAATAGTAAGACCAGTGAGAAAACAGAACCATAAAACCTCTAAATTCACAGTATATACTGCAATATAATAACAGACGCTAGTAGACTTAACTCCTTTTTGCATGTAGCAAATTGTTTATGTGCTAAGAGATGATATCAAGTTCCATTTAGTCAATTGAGCAAATTTGTCCTTACCGGTTATAAATAATTGCAATCCAATTATAAATGATAAATAGAAGGCATCTCAATGACTTTGAAGGCAAAGGCACTGCTTAGTGTAGCACTAGCCCATGGAAAGTTGCCAGTTTAAACTCCCATATGTACTGAGTTACTTGATCTCAACTAGGGAAATAGTTGGTGTGCTACAAATGGCCTCAGCGTTCCTGTAAGAGTAAAAATCAGCCAGAGTTCAAGAGACTCTCCCCCTTCCTCCCCCACACCCCCACCCCACAAACACACTAAGATATATGTGTGGATGTTGAATGAGGGTATGGTTGGGCTTGGATGTACAGTTTCATATGGTCAAAACCTGCGACCACTCACTGCCAATGTTCCCTCATGAATAATGTCTATTTTGGTGAGGTACTGGAAGGTGACCGTGGAAATGTATTCTTCAGTAGAAGGAAAATTAATCAAAAGTGAATCAAAAAGACCTTTCATTATAAATAGGAAATTAAATTATACATATAAAATTGCATTACAGAGAAACATTCTCAAAACCTATTGAAAAGAGTGGAATAGTGCTTAGCCGAGAGCAACAAATTCATTACATGGAGTAGAATAACCTTCATTGCTGTAATTTCAACACAGTTATCTCCTCTGGGGCTCAGATGACTGCTATAAATCTCTCGAATTTTCATGTAAACAACCTCCAGGTGCCTTGATCATTCTCTGGCTGGGCTGTTTATTTCACTATCCAGAAATATAATTTTACTCAGTTGGACTATAATAAGGAAAAAATTGTACAAGGTAATTTGAACAAAAATGTAGCAACTATCCTTATAAAAATGTTTTACTGTATACACCAGTTTCTTTGTATTAATTTGTAACTTCCTTTTTGCGAAATTAACAGCGCATGAATCCCACATTGACAAAGTCTGATAAAAAGGTCAGTGCTTAAAATACCAGAGGGAAAGGGCTGACTGATTTGTTTGCCAGCTTTCTTCCAGGATTTGGCAACTTGGGATTTGCAAGTGGCAAATTTGCCTCCATAGAGTCTACTCTGTGTTAACTTGAAATAATTCTTTAATAAGAGGAGCTTATTCCAGCTAAATAAATAATCCAAGACACAGATAATTGTGGCTAAAATCATCAAAAGCTGAAATAAAGAATGTTTCACTTAAAGGAACATCCTACCTCCTTCCCAATCAGCTGGTTCTTTGGACAATAGCCTAAAGCTTGTTAATGCCAAGATAAACCAGTCATGTATAACACTGGTGTTTAAAAACCTCAGCAAAACAGAAATAGGAAAACAATGCAGCTCTGAACTCCATCCTTAATGAGGGCCAAAAGAAGATTTTACTCCAATCATGTGGAAATACTCGCAGTACAAAAACAGTGAGTTTGACGTCCACTGTGGTGAAATTGTGGAGACTTATTGATGATAAAATCATGGAGCATCTGGACAGAAATAAAGTCATAAATGATAGCCAATATGGGTTCATGAAGGGAAGGTCTTGCCAATCTAATTTACTGGTTTTCTTTGACGTTGTGACAAGGGAGCTTGATAAGGGTGAGGCTGAGGATGTTGTATATCTGAATTTCAGTAAGGCCTTTGATACATTCCTCTTGAGAGGCTGGTACTGAAACTAAAAAAAAACGGGAATCAGTGGAGGTATATTACAATGGATATGCAATTGGTTGACTGGAAGAACCTAGAGGATGGTGGTACTGGGATTGTTAACAGACTGCAAAAATGTTACCAGTGGAGTTCCACAAGGGTCTGTTTTAGAACCTCTTTTGTTTAATATTTTTATAAATGATCTGGAACTAGGAGTCGCAAGCACAGGGACTAAGTTTGCAGATGCCACCAAGCTAATGAAGGTGGTGGATTGTGAAGCTGAATAAGATAGGTTACAGGAGGATTTGAACATACTTGGAAATTGGGCAGATAGGTGACAGATGAAATTCAATGTGGAGAAATGTAAAATACTTCACATGGGGACAAAAAATCCTGGAAGGGACTATTATTTGAACAGAAGAAAAATAATATGTATGCAAAATGAAAAGGACCTGGGGACCCTGATTGAGAATAAATTGAAGCTCTCCCAACAGTGCTCTGTGTCAGTGAGTAAAGCAAACCAGATGTTGGGATGTATCAAAAGATCAATAGCAAGCCAAAATAGTGGGGTAATCCTGTATAAATCACTGGTGAGACCATACTTAGAGCACTGTGTACAGTTCTGGTTGTCGCAGTCCAAAAAGGATATTGGAAAAATCGAGAAGATACAGGGAAGGGCAACCAAAATGATTGAGGAAATGGAAGGACTGGACTATGAGGAGCGACTATGTAAATTGGACATGTTCACACTGGAAAAGAGAAGATTGAGAGGCGACATGATTGCCGTCTTTAAGATTCTAAAGGAGCAAGACAATATAGATCATGACAGACTGTTTCAACTTGTCCAGAATAGTAGAACCAGAGTGCACAGCCTGTGATTGAAAGGGGGTAAAATCAGAATGAATCTACGCAAACACTATTTCAGTGAGCGAATAGTGAACCTGTGGAACAGGCTCCCTAGTGAGATGGTTGAAGCAGGAAGTGCTGATTCTTTCAAACACAGATTAGATATTTTCTTTTAGGAAATAAGATTATGGGGTATAATACATAGGCAGTTTGGGACATATGTGCATGCGACCGCAAGGAAGGTGGAAGGCGAACTAGATGGACCTTAGTCTTTTTTCGTCTAGCATTTCATATGTTCATACGTAAAAAGGCATTTGAAAATTGGTATATATTTTAAAGGATCTTCTATTTGCCCCCTAAACTGTATTACTAATCTTGCAAATTATTTTACTGAAAGTGAATTGTATGTAACGTTGACCCACTGCATTTCCTTATTCAAGAATCCTGGTAACGAATACCACAAAATAGACTCTAATGTAATTGTAAACATGCACTAGAAGATTAATTGACATTAAAATAAATGTGAATCCAAATGGATGTGAATTCACTTCTCTGTGCCTGGAAAATACATTCATGAATTTGGGATCTGGACTCTCATTACCAGCAAGATGCCCTTGGATTACTAACCTTCCAATGAATTCATTTCAGCTGCTGGTGCTTCACTACCAGATGTTTCTTGCAGTGTGTTTGTGACATAAACAACATTATCTTCTGGTCTTCCAGTGGCAACTAGAACATTTCTTTGAGATTTTAGCTTGTTTCTTAGCAGCTCTGAAGGTGAATTCTAATGTAAACAAAACAAATAAAAATCAATGTACCAAATCTATGTTAAATCTCACACATCAATAATATGTCTTAATTAACAAAAAACTGGAATATGATTTATAAAAAAATTATTGTTTAGAAATTGTGTTAATCCTGCAATCCTGTTAACTCTGCAAACCAAAACGCTCATGGCTAATGTGATCCTTGCTGGATAAGTGGTGAGACGTTTGACAGTGTTCATAATTTTAGTCGGTTGAATTCCAGCAGCAACCCAAAGCACACTGCGGAGTCATCAAGCCTTGTCTCTTGTCTTTCTGACCCTAAACTCACCTAATTCGGTATGTAGTATGTGTTCCTCTGGGGATAGAGCTTACACTCCATACCACACAAGCAGGAATTTCCATACGTTTGTAGAATAGCTTGGATACTCTTAAGCAATGGCGATGGTGCGTGTCTGACACCTGGCTGACCAAAATAAATAGTGCACATAAAGAATAAACAGAGATTTGTAAAACAGTCCTCCTATTTCATTCATGTTGTAATAAATAATCCCAGATTTTACTAGATTTGTTCATTGCCACTGCTCAAATTCCAATCTAATCCAAATTAAATGGGGAAAGTCTTCCCTTTTATAAGATTCCTGCCTGTTCCTGTGTTAATATTTTGCAACCCTAAAAGAAACTGTACTTAAAAATATCAAATAGTGGAATATGTAGTTTAAATACATTGTATAAATTTCACTGCATCTCAATTTGCTCCGATTTCTTAGCATTTCAGAGTGTCCAGAATTTGGCACAGTGTTAAATACAGTCCAAATTTTAAACTGTTTTTCTGTAAGCTCTTTTAATGAGGTTGATCCTCAGTGTTAAAGGAATGAGCAACAATTAGACAAATGTGGGAAAATAGGGTAAATATGCAATTAAAAATATTTTTTACGCGCAGGAAGATGGATAAGGGGAATGGGATCAGATCAGACGTGTCCAGTGGAGGAGCTGAAATGGCCTCTTTCTGTACTGGGTACATTCTATGAATTTTAATTGAGCTGGTTCTTGGAAGATTTTCTGCGCAGACAGTACCATGTTTTTCAATAGCATAATCTTGGACAGTTTAAATGTTTATTTTATTTGGTATTAAATTGGCCAAATCGTTTTCCAAAATAGTTTCACATAAACTCTGGATTGATCTGTAAAAATACAAATTACATAGGAACATATGAATTAGGAGCAAGAGTAGGCCATTCAGCCCCTTGAGCCTGCCCCGCCATTCAATAAGATCATGGCTGATCTTCTAACCTAACTCCATCTACCCACCTTATCCCCATATCCCTTAATCCCTCTATGAATTGCGAGGTCCATTATGCACTTTATGTGTATATCATGTTAAACCAGACATTCCAGACACAGCAACATGTCCATGTGTAGGTGGAATAAATATGTGAAACTCTCAGTCTGGTTTGGAAATTCTGAAGCATGGTGATGCGTTTCTACATGGGTCAGATACCCGACTGATCAAAAAAAAACAACTAAATAGTGTGAACTATTTTGCGCCTGATTTACATGTGGTGCATAATAGAGCCTCATGTCTTTAATAAGTGGTATCTTCTCACCTTTGGAGATTTGGGTGGCTCTGGCTTCTTAGGTTCAGGGAGAAGAAGCTTCAGTGATGTTGCAGGTGTTACTGGTGACTGAGGTTTCTTTGGAGGACGGGGAGGAGGATGCAAAGTAGCATTTTCATATCTACGTAGCATATAATACAAGTCCTCACTGATCTCCTCCACAATGGTCTTAGGTGCAGGATGTGGCACTTCTGTAGCTGGTCGTTGAAGCAGTTGGATCGACATGTTTACTCGCTGAACTGGAAGCTCATAACATTCTGATGGATCATTCAGCAAACTGACCAGCAGCCTAGGGTCAGTGATTTCTTCTTCGATGCGCAATGCGGGCAGAATTGCTAAAGTATCGTTGATTGACAGATCCCTTACAGACACCTTGACGTTGAAGGGTAAACTGAATTGTTTACAGATCTCCGAAATGTGGTATTGCTTTTTGTCATGGATTACCTCAACAAAGCTCCCTTCCACATACATTGGAAGGAAGATCTGTTCGTAGATTTTTCCCACGATCCTTTCACAAGCCATAACTTTAACCAGTCGCTTTTCTCCTTCACCGGTAAGTTCGATACTTTGGCATTGCTTAACAAGAAACTGGTCCCCTACAAGCACTGAAGAAAACTCTGCTGGATCAGACAGAAACTCTTTTGTTGCGATGACATGCAGGTGGTCTTTATTTTTACTGGCCAACTCCATGTCATATACAGTGGGGAACTCTCTTGGTCGTCTTTTAAACCGTCCCTTGTAGCTTTTGGGAATCAAAAAATGCCTTTTATTTAAATCACTTCTGTTCTCAGAAACAATCACTGGGTTGCAAAAGTGCTTCTTGTGAATGATTATTAATCTTCCAGCCTTCAGGGAGCTATAAGTGTTTTGGTCAGAACCCTCTATAATTTCAGCCAGCAGGGGGAAATCTTCACTGGGTCTTTTGAAGATATCACTGACTGACACAGGCTGTACAAAGGAGTTAATGTCATAAAATTCTGTTACATCCACAACTTCCACGTCGAGATTCGATGGTATGTGTACAATATCCTTTCGAACTGAAAAGCAAAATTTCAAAAGAAAACTATTTACTTATCACAGATTTTTAGTGATCAAAAATTGCTTCTCCAAGATTTTCGAATTCAAAAGCAGAATGTGTGATGTTCTAGCCTGTATGATTTTGTCCTGAACAAGGCAGTGAGTTTGCTGAGTAGCTATTGGGGGGTATTCTCACTGAGGGGAGGTTTACAGGGTTGCTCTGTGCTACTGTAGCATTTATATTTTGCTACTGTAGACTTCACATTTGTCATTTGTCCCAGTGCTTTGGGACGTCCTCCCAACCGTGAAATGCGCGATACAAATGTAATTTGTTGTTCTCATGCATATCAACTCTTTACCAGTCTTCAGAAGAAGAAATGCGGCATTAGATATATAATGGAACTATGAAAGTTACAACACAGAAGGAGGTCATTCGGCTTATCATGCCTCCGCTAACTCTAATAGCTATCTGTTTGCCCTATTCTCTTGGCTTTTTCATTATTTTACAACACTCATCTTGGATTATTGTGGAAGTGAATATGAATCTTGATATACTGAACATTTCTCAGCCTGTATCCTCTCATCATTAGCATCCTCTAAATGACATGCCCAGTGCACATGGATTTCATTTATCTTGCAAAGGTTGAATCATTCACTCCTGATCCTCATCCTTGCGAGTTTAATGGGATCATAATGTTACCTATTTCAATTCTTCAAGGAAACACTTGATTCTTATCTCTTGCAAGAGCAATCAGTATCCAGCATGGTGTATTTTTGAAGACTTTAGTCTTTCTTCATCTACTGACACTCTGGTCTCAAGTGGAACTTCCTATATACTCTGCAGTACTAAAATTGCCGCCGAGAGGTTTATTTTTTTCCTCAACAACTCTTAACTCTGTAAAGCACATCTCTTCCAACACGTGAATACTGCTCCTCTATCACCTTCCAACTAGAAACTAAAATCAGAATCTTATACTTGCATTCAGTTTAAAACAATCTTTTGTTATTGAGAAAAGTAGATGATTAATCTCCTACCAACTCTCACACTCTTGGATAGGATACAAACAAGGGCCTTTCATCTGATCAGTGATCCGTCTCTCATGGTTTCCAGCCTCCTTTGCCCCACTGCAATCTTTTTATATTATTTTATTTTATTAATACTTGCTCCTCTTGGCTTCTTCCTCTTAAACTAAAAATATGCCATTTGCCACTTCTCCGGCTCCTTACCTTTAAGGGTGGGAAGGCAGGTGGACAAAACTGTGAAAGAATCTAATGGGATGCTAGGTTTTATAAATAGGGGTATAAATATAAAATCCAGGAGATGATTCTAAACCTGTTAAATTTTAGTTAGACTGCAGTTAGAGCATTGTGTCCAGTTGTGGTCATCCGACTTTAGGAAGGATGCCAACTAAATTAAATTGATAAAATTGCATGATAAAACAGCTGGAATTACTCTACTTTTACAGTTTATATCAGTGCTTAAGCTCTGCTCTAAATTCTGTTCTAACTATAGAAATACTGTATGCAATTTATTTTGTGCATTTCTAAAATGTATGAAAATACAGAAATGTCCACTTACAACACAGATTTACAACAACAACAAAATTACATTTATAGAGCGCCTTTCACGTCGGGAGGATGTCCCAAGGAGCTGGACAATCAGGGTTCAGGACCCGAACATGGGGGAGGGGTGGGGTAGAGGTGAGGGAAGGCAGAGAGATGGGAGGGCGACCAAAGACACGATCAAAGAGGAGGGTCTTGAGACCAGCCTTGAAGGAGGCAAGGGAGGAAGCGAGGCAAAGGGATTATGGGATGGAGTTCCAGAGTGTGGGGGCAGAGAGGCTGAAAGCCCGGCCACCGATGGTACGGAGCAGACCGGAGCCCGCTGAACGGAGGGAGCGGGCAGGTTGGTAGGGAGTCAGCAAGTCAGAGAGGTAGGAGGGGGCAAGGCCATGGATGGCTTTTGAAAGTGAGGACGAGGATCTTGAATTCGATCCTCTGAGGGATGGGGAGTGATGGGGTCACGGAGCCTGGTGCATGAGAGTACATGAGCTGCATAGTTTGGGATGATCTGCAGCTTGTGAAAGGAAGAGTTGGGAAGGCCGATCAAAAGGGAATTTCCATAATCGAGCCTTGATGTGATGAATGCGTGGGTGAGGGTTTCGGCAGCCTGAGGGGTGAGGCAGTGGCAGAGTCTGGCAATGTTGCGGAGGTGGTGGTAGGCAGTGCCTGTCATGGCACGGATGTGGGGGAGAAAGAACAATTCAAACAAGACACCCAGATTCCTGACTGGCTTAGTGAGGTTGAGTGTGCAACCGTGGATGCTGATGCTGCCAGCGCTCGAGGTGCGGAGGCGCTGGCATGAACCAATCAGGAGGGCCTCGGCCTTGCTGACTTTCAGCTGAAAAAAGTTGTTCCTCATCCATGATTTGATGTTGGACAAGCAGTCGGTCAGGACACCAGTAGTCCTGGAGTTGAGGGTGGAGGCAGAGAGATAGAGTTGTGTGTCATCCAAAATTTATGTGGAAATTTACCCCATGTCTGCGGATGATGTCACCAGGGGGAGCATGTAGAGGGTGAAGCAGAGGGGACCAAGGACAGAGCCCTGAGAAACACCACACGAGACAGGCTGGAGGAGAAGCCGTTAGCTGAGACGAAGTGGAGGCGGTGTGAAGGGTAGGACGTGAACCAGTCAAAGACAGAACCTTGGAGAGTGAGGTGGGAGGAGATGCAGTTGAGGAGGAATGAATGATCCACGGTGTCAAAAGCGGCAGAGAAGACGAGGAGGACGAGGAGGCAGAGGGACTCCTGGTTACATATGGTCAGGATTTCATTTGTGACCTTGACCAGAGCAGTTCCGTGCTGTGGGCAGCACGGAAACCTGATTGGAGGGGCTCATGGAGGGAGTGGGAGGAGAGGAAAGAATGAAGCTGGGAGGTAACGGCTATTTCAAGGACCTTGGACAGAAAAGGGAGTTTGGAGATGGGCCGATAGCTGGATAGCTGTGTTGGATCAAGGAACGGTTTCTTCAAGGTGGGGGAGATAGTGGTTGTTTTGAGGGGGGTAGGAACAGTGCCAGATGACAAGGAGAGGTTGAAGGTGTCGGCGAGTAGTGGGGCAAGGAGGTGGAGCTGGGATTTAAGGAGAGGGGTGGGGATGGGGTCCAGGGAGCAGGTGGTGAGCTTCATGGAGGATATGGTGGTGATGATAGAGGAGGGGGTGACAGGTTCAAAGGTGTGGAAGGAGGGATGGGTAGTAGCCAAAGTAGGTAGTGGTGGAGAACAGGAGCCTGGGTTTGCCCTTGGCCTCCATGATTAACCTGGATTAGCAGGGAGATTTGGCTGAGGCGAGAGCGGAGCGGTAGGTTTTGATGAGGTCCAGCCAGATGTGCCAGTGGACCGTTAGGCCGGATTTGAGCCAAGTGCGTTCAGCAGCCCGCACCTGGCCATTGAGCGAGCGGAGGTGTCTGGTGAACCAGGGTGAGGATCAGGAATAGGAGGCAGTTTGGGAGGTGAGGGGGGCAAGGGCGTTGAGTGTGGTGGAGAGCGTGCTGTGGAGAAGAGTAAACGCGGAGGATGGGTTGGTGCAGGAGGTGGGCCAGAGGGGGAGGAGTTCACAGGACTCCAGGGCAGCGGAGAGGGATTGCGGGGAGATCTTCCACAGACGGTAGGAGATAGTGGTAGGTTTGGAGCCAGTGGGGAGAGGGATATAGGAGTTGAGGGAGATGAAATGGTGGTCAGAGATGGCCTTGTCAGTGATAGTGACATCCAAGACGATGAGGCCCCGTGAGTGTGGGTAGTAGAGTGGATGTGGAGGGAGAGGTTGAGAGAGTAGAGGAGAGAGAAGTCTGAGGAGGTGGAGCAGGAGGGGGTGAAGTGGAGGTTGAAGTTGTGTAGGATGATGAGGCGGTCGGAGTAGAGGCAGAGGGAAGCTAGAAGGGTGGAGATGTCAGAGATGAAGGTGAGGGAGGATTTGGAAGGGTGGTAAATTAGGAGAATTTTTAGTGAGAGATTGGAGGGAAGGCAGAGGGTAAGGTGTTCGAAGGAAGGGAACGAGCCGGTGAAGTAGGGGGTTAGGGCAAGTGCCGCCCTGGAGATGAGGGCCACACCACCGCCACAACGGTTGGGACGTGAGGCATGGTGTGGCCTCAGTGAGGGTGTAGGAGTCACCTGGGGTGATCCAGGTTTCCGTGAGGGCCATAACATCAACGTTCTCATCAAGAATGAGAACATTGACGCCCAGGGTCTTATTGCAGATGGAGCGGATGTTTTGAAGGCCAATGTGGAGTGGACAGTTAGCAGGTGGATGTGTGGGATGGGAGGGGGTAGTGGGTTGGTTGGGAGGGAGGGTGGAGATGCGGATGAAGGAGGAGAGGTTAGCCCCCGGGGTCAGGGTCGGGGGTGGTTTGCGATGATAGTGGGGAATGGGGCAGTCGGCGTGGTTGCTGCTGGACATCCAACGCTAAATGCCGGGATGAGCCCAGCAGAGGGTTCAAGACTGGAGCAGAGGGAGGCAGTTGGGGGGCTCAAGCAGAGATAGGAGGCGCGGGAGAGAGCAGGACACAATAGGAGAGTTGCAGGGAGGGGGGCATTTTGAGGGAGGACCAGCTCGGGTCGAAGGCGGCAGCCAAGATGCGCACGCTGAGACGAGAGGCGGCGGATTAGTGGGACATCGTTAGCCTGCAGGAGGCTGTAGAGACTAACGGTAGCGCAGAGGGTGTTGGGCACTCATTGTGGTTTGCCCCAAATGTTGCAATGATGTAAACATATTATTTTAGTTAACAAATGCATTGAACAACAAAGAGATGAGCAAACATTTTTCTCTACTTACATTTCATCACCGCATGTATTTCATAGATAGGCATCAGACTCAAATCACCATTAAGGTCATCGATGACAGGATAACGATTTGGTTCACAGCCTGTTAATGTTTTCACAAGCTTCACAACCCGCTTTCTGTTTTTAGGGATTTTCCATTCCACGATCTCTTTCAATGTATAAAACTGGTCATCTTCACACTCGTAGAAGATTCCTTTGTGTAATAAGGGAATCTTTAATATTTTGCTTTTACCTTCTCTGACAACTTCACAGTTCACATACTGTTCTCCTGCTACTTCGTTCAGTGAGTTCAGCACTATATGCTCGCCTTCTTTAATGAAGACACCATCCACCTGAATATCTATGTTGCTTCGGAATCGAGGATGACCCAAACGGTTGTGCCCAATTTGTAGCGATTCTGTGATATTCTTAACACTGGAATAGGGGCACGGATCAGCAAGAACCTTGAAGAGACCTGATAGAAGGAAGATTCCAAGTTAATTGTCGGTTATTAATTAAACCTACATGAAATTGCTCTCTCTTCTAATGTGCTCCTATCATTACAATTATTCTTCATGTGTATTAAATATGGCATTGTTGAAAAAATGCATTCAATACAACAAGGCAGGGTTCTTGCCAAATTGATAAGGCGCTATATCAAATGCACAGGTTATTAGTATTATTATTATTAAAATGTGGTATTCACAAACTGATCGTGGCTATGGGATTCAATACCAAATTTGCTTAACAAATTGCGAAAAAAGTTTTGACTGTTAGATGGCCCGAAAGTAAAACACTAACTGCTACTGTGACGTCATGTTTGTGATCAGGTCAATTTTGGTGCAAGAAAAAGGCCTGAAAAAACAAACAAACTGTCAGAAGGCAAAGTGACGGTCTCAAATGGTCTTTTCTAGGCCTTCAGGATCTCANTTTTTTTAGTGGATGTGTTAATGAATCCAATTTCAATTGCAAACCAAAAGTCACTATTAGCACAGCAACATCTGGTTTGCAAATGTTGCATTTGCAATCCCATTGTAGCAAAAATTCCATGCAAATTTGCATTTATATAGCACCTTTCACAACAGAAGGACATGCCAAGCTGCTTGGCAGTCCTGAGGTTTTTACAAAATAAACCACTTAAACATGATTTAAGATGGAGTGTTGCAAACTGTCACTGAAATGCCATAATGGATGGTTAATGGTACCCTTGGCTGGCTCAATGGCAGATTCTGACGACTTCAGAACCAACCATTCTAGGAAAGTCAGGTCAAACAGTGTCTGAGACATTGACGGGGTGGAATGTTCAATAATGTGATAATATGTCACTTTCTTCTTTCATCCCGTACACAATAATTACATTTGCAGTTTCCACAGGGTAGCTCTGAATATGGTGGGCTTAATCAGAGCAGCAGAATCTTGTAACAAACTATCTATTGCTCTGGACCTGATTAAAGCTCCAGCACGGTGAACAGATAACCAGAAATGGTGGTTTTGATGTTGCAGTTAATAATAATAATAATAATCCTTGCATTTGATATAGCGCTTTTCACGTCGGGAGGACGTCCCAAAGCGCTTCACAGAACACACTGTAAAGTGAATTGACTGTATATTTGTGGGCGAACGCGGCAGCCAATTGCGCACAGCAATGTCCCACAAACAGTCGTAGATTGAAAATGACCAATTTAATTATTGTTTTTTTTTTTTTTTTGGAGGGATTATTATTAGGTTATTATTAGTTGGAACAGAAAATGACTCCAAGGATTTCTGCTACAGAATCACATTTAAGCTGAAGATTATTATTATTTACTAGCTGTTCCATTGCTTGTTGTAATAACCATGAAATACTTTGTCCTAAATGATTTTTAAAATATTGTTTAATGGAGAAACAGAATGAATCCAATTTTTACTATCAAACATGCAATTATGTTCACACATGCTTTATGCTTTCAGCTCTTTAAGATAATATCAACAAAACATCACAAAATATTTAAATGCATTCATCCAATTCACGAACAGTAACATTTTAGCTTTATTGAATTTAATGGCTATACTATCGTCTTAGGGTTGTGTATAAAAATAACCTGTTCTGACTGCTCACTTCCACAAAACTAAAAAACATAAACAACCATAAATAAGGTTTAATCATATTCACCATCCATTTATTGTTCTGTGGCTTGACATTTATTAAGGCACCTTCTTCGTAAAATTACAATATTTCCCTGAATGTGTGGATTTCATCTACAGACATTATTGAATAAATATCCCTGTCTTTGGGCTACATTAAGCAGTGGCTTAAACCACTGTCTATACTACAATAATAATGTGTTATTAACTTATCTTCCACTGGCCTTGTGTTTTCAAGATCCTTACACTCAAGTACAAATTACTTCATTCCCTGGCACTTTCCTATCTTTCTGACCTGCTTACCCCCCACTTTGCTCAGTTGACTCCGGCCTCCTGCACGTCCCTTATCCCTTCCACTCCATCATCAGCAGAAGTGCTTTCAGCCACTACACACCAAAACTGTGGAACTCTCTGCCTCAACCTCAGCCTTGTCCTCTCCTTGCCTATCTTCAGATCACACCTGAAGATCTTCCTCTTCGACCGTGCCTATGGTCATCGCTCTCCTCAGCTTGGATTCAAGCTCCACCACTGTTAAGCACTCTGAGACGCTACCCCTCATGAAGTGTGCTATATAAATGCAAGTTGTTGTGTTCGATTCAGGTTGTCGTAAAGGAGCAGTCCTGTTGTTATTATTTCAAAGAATAAAGGAGTGTTTATTCCCCATCCCAAATTTCTCCCCATGTTTAAATTCATTAGCTACTGACCAAATGGAAGGATTATCTCATCTTTGTTTTGGGGTTATGTTTATGGCTTCTGTGTTTATCTACATAGCAACATTCACTTTCACAAATTTCATCAATGATATATTGCAAAGCACTTTGAGACATTTACATGAAAGGCTTAATATAAATCCAAGTTATTAACGATATCAATTAACCATGCATTTTTCAACCTGTCTCTAAAGAGACACCATATCATATGTCTTCTTACCATTTTTAAAGCATTTTTTTTGCACATTAAAACTTGAATCTCAAGAGGTGACCAAATATTTGTCTAAACATTGAAAACATCCCAGTATACTTTCCAAGGAGCAATATTAAAAGTATCTATTCACATGCATGTTTATTGAAGACTGAACCAAAAAAAAGCAGTCACTGTGTTGTAGAATAGTGCTATGTTCTGTAACATTTTTTAAGTTTCAGTTACTGAAAACATTCTTGTTCTGTGCAGCATTTTCATAAATTGCAATTGGGGTTTCAAGTTTTGGTCCTTCAGGCTTGTTTGCCAAACCACATACAACACCACAGAGAACTTTGCCCATCTAAATAATAGGGGAAACCCAAGCAATTGTTCACACAGTTTCTTGTTTGTTTTTACCAATGGAGTTTTGAGTGAATGTAACATATAGTCCTGTCAAACGTAGTAAGCTACTGTGTTACACTTGTATCTTCAAATGTGGCTTTTAATTTTTTTTCTGAACATCTATCAGACTTAAGTTACTACTATTTGGTTGCAATTTGATCAGTGTTCGTCCAAGTACATTTTTTTTCAAAGAAACCTACACATTTGGCCACATTTGCATAGCTGTTGGAACGGAAGAGACTTTGTTAATGTTTCAAGACATGCGATAGTTGCATCGGATTTTAATTCCCTGAACGTAAAATACACGGGGAACAATTCTACCTGGGTGTAGATTTTAGAGAAGAGGGTTTCTCCCAGTGTCCTCACTCCATGGCTGTTTGTGGGAAATTGCTGTGTGCAAACTTGCTGCTGCATTTTTGCTCACAAACTACACAATTTACAGTATATCCTGTGAAGTGCTTTGAGGTGGTTCGACAACATGATAATGCCCTGTATCAAGTGCAAGGATTATTATATTATTTACTCTCTTTGTGTAGATTTCAGAGTGGAAACAATTTGGCAAATTCTTAAATCTAGCCTTAATTCTGAAGCTAATTTTCTGTAAGGTCTTTTAGGAACTTACAGAAAGGCAATTTTATAGTTAGGACTGAGTTGAACAATTTGCAAATTTCTGGATGTTCCAAAAATACCACGTAGAATAAATCTACACTAAGTGGGATTTCTCTGTTTTAGTTTGTTTCACATAAATTTGACTTTACCATTAATCTAATTACATCTGTTGGTTGTAAGGTAAATATTTCTAGACATAATTCATTTCATTACTATCTGATTAATAAGTGAAAATACCTGGATATTCCAATGGGAGCTCCATAGATCTTGTAAATGTGTTGTCCTTGTCACTGTTAGAAATCTCTGCTATAATCTTTGCTATCTTGAATCCAATGACTTTAATGATTTCTCCTGTAGCCAGGCAGCATTCTGTCCCATGCATTTCATATACAGAGCCTGAAAAACAGAATGAAATGGTTTAAAATATCCATTGATTTACCACCTTCAATCAACATGGAGATGCAGCAATAGGGAAGGAATGAGGCTTGAATAAATTGCTTAAAGAGGCATCAAAATAAATATTTGAATCAATTACAAAACACAGACGTGTAAAATCATAGAAATGTAATAACTTCCGAATATTACAATCATTGCCTTCGGTATATCACATCATATCACTTAAATGTCTCAAACTCTTCACAGTATTACTGTAAAGTGTGGTGATTAGTATTTGTAAGCAATCATGGCACAGCCAATCTCCCTCAAGCAGCTGTGAAGTGAATGACCAATTTTATCTGGAGGACTATTGGCCACTTTACCAGGAAAAACACCCTACTCTTTTGGAATACTGTCATCGGATCTTTAACATCCATTTGAGCAAACCTAGACCCTGGTGAAATTTTTAACCGAATGTTGCTGGACAGAATGTCTGATGAATCTGGATGAGTCATTTTTTCTGTTTAAACTGTGCAGAAATATCTCAATCTTGGTTGTGTTTTTTCTGTCAGTTTCTTTGCAAATTCTCTGACAAGTATTTACATGAGAGTTGGCAAATGAGGGCAAAATAACGTTATAGCACAAATGAAGTCTGTCAAGGTATTGTTGACACCAATATAACTATACAGAGCCCCCTTTAGAATACCTTGACAGATATCAATGTCATTCAAATGCCACCAATATATTGTTTCAACCATGGTGCACATCAAACCACTGTGTGTGTTCTCATAGATTGATAAAGTATACAGCGTGTGGTATTTATTCACCTTTTTGTCATAAGGTTTAGATATTCCTGGTGCTTCAATGCACATGGCTATACCTATTATATCCTCTTTATAGACAGAAAGCAAAGATGTTATGAGAATAAAGGGCATGTTAAGATACCAGTGCATAGAGTTGCAGGATATAACATCTACCATGATCAGATAACCCTCTCAACCACACTATTACAATTATGCTGAGTCTAGGGCAAGCTCCTCTAAGCAGAGAAGAAAGGAAATAGAAAAAGTGTGAGAGTCACTATAGGCGCTCTCCATAGGCCAGTTGTACAACATTTTGTGATAATTTAATGAGATGTTCATGCAAACCGGCACCAATTCTGGAGTAGATTGCATATTTAGCAGTATTTGACCACCTGAAGAAGTGAAACTAAACATGTACAAAGAACCGGTCTCCCCAATTGGAAACCATGCACAGCTTCGGTCACCATATTTCAATAGAGAGGGTTCAATTAACTCCTAAACTTCTACCTGGCATTAAGAACATGAGCTCCTAGAACACGTTGTGGAAACTAGGAATCCCTACATTGGAAAAGAGCGGGCTTTAGTTGATATGCTCAAATTTCTAAGGATTACAGATAAAACTGGTTCTAAATTATACATTTGACAAAACCACAGGTTCTACAACAAGTGGTAAGGTAGCTCAAAAGAAAGTGAAAAACGGTTAAGGTTTAATCACTTTGCGCCATGAAGGTGAGTGCTAAACGTTGGTACAGACTGCCCATGCTGGCAGGGAATCCACAACTGGGACTCTCAACTGTCCAGCACCTTGGGAAGTTCTTCCAAAGTGAAAGGTGATATATAAATGCAATTTGTTGTTGTTGTTAGGGTTAGCAACTGTAAGAGGGAATAGGAGAGCTATTTGGCAAAGAAATTGGTTGAGGATGTGAGAGATAGTGTTGTGTATGATTTAGTTCAAATTGGGTACAATTCAGATGGTGCTTTACAGCGCTGTACATTCATCCCTATGTTCTTAAATACAGAAATTCTGCATTTCAATAATAAGGAATTAGGTATTCACAGTAATTGAAGGACACAAGACATACCAGTTGTTCTTTTTATACATTTCTTAATAAATTATTTAAAACCTGTCTTCCACAAACCACATGAGGTTCACATTGCAAAATAGGTTGGGTTGCAATTTTATTTAAAAGTGACACCTTTTTTGCAGGATTCATTTAGCATACGCTGCTGCATTACAGTGCGTAAAACTGGGTGCTTTGACATTTAACATGAAGCATTTTTTTCTCAGTGACCTGAACAAACTGTATGACTTCAAAACCGTACAAAAGGAAACTACAAAGCATTGTTAAGACGAGCAACGTTCTTCATAGGAAGCTGTTTTTCTAGGTTTGTTTTGAAGAAATGGCCACATGTTAAATTATTGTTTGTGTAAAGCCTTGCTTGAAAGTTCAGTTATACACAGATATGAAATCTGTACTTTTTCACAAAATGTGAAATCTTCATGTTAATTTACATCAGCTATCAATTCAAGATTTACATTTTGGGGGGAAAGAATACATTTTTAAAAAAGATGAAAAAACCTTACCCAATTTCATAGAAGCATAATAAAAAATAAGATGATAAACATCAACTACTACAAGCTGTACTACTACAAGATTACAGACTTGCATGTCCAGGAGAACAACAGACACAAAATAGTTTGACATTAATCTGTGCCAGAGAGCAGAGGCAAAGCCACTCCACTTTTACATCTGTCATCAGACAGTCATGTATAAACGGATCATTAAAATCATTGAGAAACACAGCACTGTCGCTACCTCCTGCCGAATTGCCCCTCCCCCTCCCATGCTCCCACTCTGTCTCTATTAAGTGCTTTGAGATATTTTTTCACATGAAAGGTGCTCTATAAGTGCAACTTGCTGTTCCAGTACCGGAAGCAAATACAGTCTAAATGGAAATGAATCCAATCAAATCCAGATGTTAGCCTGTTGGACAGTTTTAGAGCTATTTTATATCATATAATTGTGTTGAGCAGTTCGACATTTCCCAGATCACCTGCATCAGTGACTGTATCAAACACAATAAAGCATTTGTGATATCTTGAGTTAGAAAGGAAAGTCTATTTCCGAGTCTGCACAGGTGCTGAATTCTGTGATCATAAGATTATTTACTAAGTATATTGGGAGTGAACATTATATTCTCTGCCAATAGCGTCCAATTTGTGGACAGCAATGTTGCTCAAAATTCCACCCAGTCTAACATGTAGCACAATTTTACCTTCAAATTTAAAATTGAACTGTGCAAAATTCTTACATTTAGTCTTAATTTGGCAACCACTTTTCTGCATCCAAATTACAATTGAATTTAAGAATTTTCCACACCTGCAATTTCAAGACTAACTTAGTTTTACTGTCTACGATTGGATGGAGTTACTAGTTAATGGTATTAATAAAAAAAATCCTTACATTTGGTATAGCATCTTTCACAGCAGGAGGACATTGCAAAGTGATTAACGGGATCTAATACTCTAAAGTGTAATGACATATACGTATATTGTAGGCAAACCTGTGAGCCAATGTGCATATAAGCAATGTCCCACAAACAGTCATGAAGTGAATGGGGTGGGGGGGGGTTGTTGGCCATACCACTGTGAGAAATTCCCTTCTCTTTTTGAATAGTACTATAAGATCTTTAACATGTACCTGAACAGGCAGTCAGGGCTTGGTTGAACATCTGATCTAAAGGACAGTGCCTCCAGCAATGCAGCACACACTAAGCACTGCAATATAGTGTCATCCTAGAGTATGTGAGTTTGAAGTTCGGCATAGAGCTACAATCTTCTGTCTCAGAGGTGAGAGTGCTACCAACTGAGCCAGGCTGACACACATAGTCTGGTGTTCTCTTGATGGTATAGATACAAAATGGAGTCAAAATGTAGATGGGGCAACTGTCCAAACCGGATTTGCTTAATCCAGCCACAGTTCTGAAAACTTGATCCGATTTTCAGAAGTCACACACCATTACTCACAGCAGAAGGTAACAGTGAAAACAATAAAATAGCAAAACCTCAAACACCACAGGTCTGTCAAACGTGATCAGGTTCAAACCAGTGACAATATATTGAACTTCAATGTCCACAGTCCGAATGCTTATTGCCAAGGCGATCTCACCACATGAAGCATTGGCGGTCAGCATTGTAAAGGTCTTCAACATAGTGTAATGCTAGAGCATAACTTTAGATTCCCAGAGTCTAGTAAATTCAGTTAATATTGAATTACATTCTCTACAATTGGAATGTCTTAGTTCGGTAACATTTACTTAAAGCCACCTGCCAGCAGCAATGTGGAAAGCCACAAACAGATATAATGAACAGATACGCAGAAAGTCCCTTTCAAAGTGGTCTACAATTGCACTTCATGTGATCTCTGAGGCCGGCAGGTCACAAACTACAGTTGAGTCATCGTGCGATCCGTCTGCTCTTGTTTAGGTCCTACACATTGTCTATCAGGGATGGCTTCACAATCTGGAATTCACAGTTCATAATCTGACCTGACAGACGAGAGAGTCAGAAGGCAGAAGGGAATCTTTTGCGCTCCTTTCCCATCATTCCTGAACATGTTAGAAGATGGTATGTGCACCTCTTTCAGCGCGCTATTGACAATGGTGATGCATATGTGATCTGGGGACACCTGAATACACATTGGCATTACAGTACAGTATTGGGCTTGGATCAGTTTGCAGAAGAGATCTTACAATTAATCCAAGCATTTTTGAGAGAATTCATAAGTAGTAGATTGCAGGGGAGAATTTCACCTATCCTCTGTCAAAAGATATTTTTCTAACCTGCCTTTTAATTCTCCCTCTCCAAATCCTTCTGACTCACATCCTCCTTCTCTGCTTTCAAAACCCTTCCAAAATACTTCCTCTTCAAAGATGCCTTTGCTCAATGGCCTCCAACCCAATCCCACTTGCTACCTCACTTGAGTTTCCAACCGTTTTCTGTAAAGTGCTTTGAGAATGAAGGGTGCTAAATTAGTGTAAGTTTTTTTTCTATGAATATCTTAAATTAGCTCATATCTGTCCCAAATTTACTTTTCAATATTTTTCCTCTTATCCTACATTGTTGGATCAAGAGAGGGGGAGAGAGAGAGAGAGAGAGAAAAAGAGACTACAGAGTGTGGTGTGGGACATGCAGATGTTCCGCTGATACAATAAATG